TTTTTTTTGAATATCATCACAGACCTTAGGGGTTTATAGATCATTAACTAAGCAACCTTTCCTCTGTCATAAATTCGTTTTTTTCTGGGTCACCTTTCAGAAAGGGAAAAACTAACATAGCATTCAAACACTGCCTACCGTTCTTTCTTGCTGTTTCCTCATCAGGTGGAGATACTTTTGGAGACCAGAAAATGTCATAAACAGAAATACTTGGGTTGGCCATAAACCGTAGATAGTCAAATATCCAAGCCATATTCCCCTCTCTCCCAATTGCATATTTAGACTGCTCGAGTGATTCTATCATTCCCTGTAAAAACTCAATTCTAATTTTTGTTGTTTACCGTTAGCAATGAATATCAAATATTTTTTGGACAACCACAAAAAGAACCCAATATAGTAACGGCTCGGTATCTGTTCCGCTTAAAAACTTTTTTTTTTTACTTAAATTCTACCACTTAAAAACGAGACTTAAGTATTATATATAGTGATAAGTAAATTTAATAAAGAGTACAAGGAATTTTCGATATTGTGCAGGATCTGAGAAATCAGGTGGTTTTCGAACAACATAATTGATACTGAGAAAGTCAGGCCATACCTGTAATTAATATTGTTTATTCATTTTTTTTTCAATAAAAATTAAAAAAAGCCATCTTTTTTCGACGAAGGGAATAGTGTTAAAGGGAATAGTGTTATTTTATTTTCATTACTTAAACGCGTACAGTTTCGCTAATTATGTCTATTCCTTCAACACTTTGCGAATCTGGTGGCAGTAACATTTTGCCGTCCATAGTTGCTTGCACCAAATTTGCACTATAGATTGACAGGCTGATACAAATACACAATGATATTGCAGCAAACAGTTCACCAATCGATGAAGACACAAAGTTTGAGTATACTACAAAATAAGATCTAACAACTTTTAAGAATTTATAGTTCTTTTTGTTTTTGCTCTTTTTTAGCATCACTTTTTCACTTCTTACAAGGATTAGATGTCAGATATATATGTATATTTGTATTTATATAAACTATAAGCGGTACAAATAAAAAAAAATTTGGACAGTTTATGAGAATTAATTAC